TACAGCTGTTTTCATAATTTCTGAAACACCTGATAAAAAAATCTGCCGAATGATTTTTCAGCCGTTCCGGTTAAGTTATATTATGCGTACGTACGTACGTACATAACTTTACATTAATTAATGCAGTGGCACATGATTATTAGACTTGGTGTGCGAGCTCTACGTATAAGTTATTTACATAATAAAAATTACATATCAGAAATTTACACGCAAATTTCCACCCTATATATCCCTAAATTCCTATATATAAAAGACATATGCATTATATATGATACTTTTCTACGATAATTCATAACATTATAAATGTCGGGCACGTTCAATAATACTAAATTTTCGTTTAATACTTGCCCAACATGTTCAGTACTGTAGTGTGTTTAGTCTGTGCGAAAATATATATTTCAAATTACAATGTAATCTATATGTATTTAACGTAACATAAATTGTTATTATTATGTATCGATCATGCCGAAATCGCTTACTTAACCGGATCGGCCGAAAAATCATTCACCATTTTTAGGGGACGTCTAAAGCCGTGTCCAGTCACGTGTTTTTTGTTTTTTAATTAAAGTTAGAGTAAGGGTTAGTTTGGGTTAGGGTCAGGGTATATCTTATAGTAAAATTGTCTTCCCGACATTTTTTATTAATGCACCAGGATGGGTTTAGACCATCGTTTCTTGTATTTTTTGCGATTTTCACTTTTTTTCGCTGTTTTTTGTCTCTTCGGGCTGATCCGTGTCGATCAAAATAAACAATTCTATTGGCTTTAGGTCACGTGATGGATACGGCTTTAGACGACCCCCATTTTTATCAGGTGTTTCAGAATTTATGAAAACAGCTGTAATGCCGGCCAAATTAAACGGTTAAACGATTAAGCAAAATTTTAGGCGGTTCCAATCCCTAGAAATAACTATACTTAATTTCGCAAACGATTAATTAATTATATTCTGATAGTAACTATTAATATATAGTAGCAAATAACAATTCTTTTTATTTAAATAATTTAATTTAAAAAAGACGAATTTATAAAAACAAATTTGCCTGGAATGCAAGATAAAAAAGGTAATAATTATACAAAAAGTATAGAAAAAATAAAGTTAACTATATACGTATATATATCTAATTAAAGGAAATCATTACACAAAATATAATACGTACGTACGTATACAATATAAAAAAAAATAACCAAAGAAATATTTTATTACGAAATTTTTATAAAACTACAAGATCTAATTTCAAGGGATAATTTCAAACAGGTGCAACTTTAAGCAGGTGTTAACTTCAAGTATGACATTAATACCACGAAATTGGCATGAAAAATAATATAGGCAAATATTATTATTGTAACGAATATAATACAAGTGATGCGTGGTGTCAGGCAAGACTATTTAATGATCAACCGACCAAAATTTTTTATGATCGGTCACAATCAAACAAATCAAATGATCGATCATTCCCTAATTGATCATCTCTAAATAAAGGTTGAAGAACTTTTCTTAGATCAATCCCTGACTGCAACAAAGCTGTTCCAGTACGACTACAAAATAATAAAGGTATATTAAACTATAAACCTTAAAATCAAATTTAATTTAGTGAAATTTAATACCTGTCCAATGCTTCCATCACGGTATAAAAATTATTCAACCATGAGTCATCGTCCTCAAAATCACTTACCCAGCGAACTTCAACCCCAAACTCAATCGATGCAGATTTTTTCGTTGATAACAATGTAATCAACCCGTAAGCAGCATCGCTTGCGGATAATGATGGCTGTTTATATCCGTAGAATTTACAATATGATGAGTATAATGGATATTCAAGACCAAATTTTGGACCTTCTTCCTTAATCATTTCGGCTAGCGAATTTGCAACTTGAACATCCATATTTGGAAAATTTTGCTTTGCCATTCTATGTGTAATCCTATAATCATCAATTAATATAATAACTAAATCTAAACGTTCTATATACGAATCATTGTAACAATTAGTAGTTTGAAGAACAGTGAACCCAGTGATCATCACTATATCACATGACAGGCACACCGCCTATATTAGGATAAGTTTTAAAGTTAGGTTAAGTGGTTAAGATCTGTCACGATATGTTTATCATGTGATCATTGATCACTCGGTTAACTGTTCAATTACTTAATTTCCATACCCGATATTTCGCAATAGTCGGTCCAAATTCGCTGCCTGATTTTCTTTGAGACGCATTTTGTTAAAAGTGTACTCGGAATTGAGCATACTATCATACAATGTCCAATGACCAATCAAAACGCATTGGTACGTGATTAACAGTGTTAAGAAAAACTTTGAATGCTTTAATAAATATGAAATTTGATCGCATATAAATAAAATGTATAAAGGATATTCATTAATGCGAATAATTCGTTTGTCATCGGAATGTGCGGGCACGGCTTTGTGTCTGTGAATACGTTGAACGCTGTCAGAATTATTCAAATCCATAACTTCGGCGTCCAAAAATCCGATCATTTTATTATATTCTACAAGATTTATTCTTTTAGACACGAAAAGACTCGTGTGACCTATTATTGCGAGCCTTTTAAATATTCAAAAAGATATGTGATCGAATAATATTTCTTTAGTTTAATACAGTTAAATATTGTAATGCCACAATACCATAGCATATCGTTATCCTTTAATAATATGATCGAAGCAAGGGTGTATGTCTGTAATGCAATTGATGGGCCGTGATTACACCGCCTAACTGGTCCGGTTGCCAAAGGAAAGGGCTAGATGATTAGATATAAATTCAGTAAATATTAACCGAAATATACACAATCAAAATCAACCCTTTAAATCAAACCTCGTCTAAATACTTGTTGATAGGGCGTCCGAAATCGTCCGTTATGAACACAACTTCGCCCACCGTTTCATAGCCATTGATTGCTTTTTCTTTACGTTTAGCCTTTAATAAAAGGAAATTAAATCAACAACGACAATCAAAATTGCAAATCGTCTCATGGATTGATAACATATTACCTTTACTATTATGTCTTTGTTTTCCGGTGAATTTATGTTATCTAACACTATGAAAACCTAGCCAGAATAATCACCTAATTAGATCTTGTTTTACAGTGTATTCGCATTTCGATGTGTCGCATGGGTTAAAAGCGTAGTCACTTGAAATAATGTCCTCTTCTCAACTCACATTGTGATTCTTTTCATACATATTCCTCAAATTAATTGGATTTTGACTGTCCAACACATACACGATCAATGTAGGATGATTTGATAAATCAAAAAATCTGCCGAGATCAATGTCTCCTCCAAAATTCAGCAAAATGATCGCTCGTAACTATCTTTGACGCAAGTGACAGAAAGAACGCCGCGATATCAATAGATAGTTAGTCAAATTTGCGATGATTATGAACAATGTATACAGATATGGTCATATATTTCCCTGAATATCAAAATAAATCAATGTATTTACCGATTTTGCAAGAGGACTTGGCTGCCTATCTCTTATATCGAAATCTTCTGTATTTCTAACTGGCTTAATACTCCATATTATATGTTTCAGGTAAAATAGTTTCTATTAATGAATATATATGGTTATTTTATCAACGAAAAATAGGCCAGTCATAAATAAACAGGTATAAACAAAAATTCGGCAAACCTTGAATATTTCAGCAGCACATATTGCATCCACGTCTGCATTACAATAAATACGTACGGAAGGATCAAGCAATAGCACACCGTTGTTTTCGTCTTGACGAATTCCCAAAGTTTCAAAAAAATATTGAAAATATTCCGTTGAGCAGTACATATTTATAAATTATCAAATCTGATTTAAAAATTTAAAATTATGTAGACACATTAAAAGGCAAAATCGACGCGACTTTGATATGATTTCGTGATAAATCTATCTGTAGACAAAAAAAAAAGACGATTTAATATATTGACGCGATCGAATTGTTGTTCAAATTTTAAATTCCTAAAACACGGTTATTTGTTACCTATTTATAGATTACTGGAAAAATAAGCTTTTCCGAATTGGGGTCAAGAAGCAAATAACTTGCCTATTCGGCAACCTGCCTTTAATATAATAGAATAAATGGATCACCGATCACCCACAAGAAATTTGTGTTACAAATCTTGAAAAAAAATTTTGAAAACGCAAGCCTGTAACGATACAATACCGAATACCGATACCGTCTTTAAAATGGTATGAATGTATGATAATCTTATGACAGAACTCTGGTATTTACGTAACAAAAACCGTTTATACCAGAGTCCTTTAAAAATTTTTAGTTTTCGGTACCAAATTTCATTTCGATGTTTTGATCGAATGATTTATGTTTTTATCGTCGCATTTGTAGTTATAAAATATTCATTTCTTTATTTTAAGGAAACCCTAGTGTGGCGAGGTCGGGAATCTGGTTATGAATTCTATTCCTCTGCAAGTAATGTTTGGTTTATTTGTTCCTAACGAAATAGTTCTCGAAATCCTTAAAAAAGTGCTTGAGAAGGGAAAGTACGTAATTTTTTAAGATTATACCATTTGACATGTTCATAGATTTTGAAAAAAGAAAAAAAAAAAAATTTGAATAAATAAAATAAAATAAAATATTGAGTATTAATCGCTTTGATAAATTATATTAATGAGTCATATCTTTTATAGATATAAACAATCAATACCTAGTAGTTATATGCTGTTAATGCGATGGCGGCTGGTCTGTAGAACGTGGAATCAATTAGCTCTTCTAGTATTGAAAGAGGAGATACTACGGACATTCATACAGGAATGGTATTTAGAGGTACACTGATATTGAGATGCATTTTTATTGGATCAAGACCATATATTCAATTATTGAGTCGCTGTGTATTAATACATTTATCCGTAATCAACTTCTCAGAGCATCCCATCACCATATACAGATTCAAAATCTTATACTTCTGGCGTATATCTGGAACGCCTTGATGGTGGGTTCATTTATTTTAGGGTCTCTGAAAAACCAACGAATCAAACTTTCCAAAGCATGGATAATTTAGCCCTTTATAATGAATATGATTCCCCGAGAGTCATTATTAGTTGTTATCCGATGGGAGAAAAAGTCCATCTTGCTCGTTCAAGTTCTGCACCTTCATATTATGTTGTAGAATCTGATTACTTCAAAGTTCGTACCATTGACGTGTGCAGAGAACTTGACTACTTTTATGATTGGTTACACCCGATGCGCCAAAATTCATTGAGCGAGAATACGGTTGAGATACCCCCTACAATAGTTGAGAATACAACTGGTGTGAATGAAAAGGGTGGAAGTATTCAAGAAGATGCTGATACTAACGCTAAAGAAGTTAATTCTGGAGATGAAAATGAAAGAATCCAGAAAAGTGCCGACAAGAACGAAGAGAATTTGGAAGTTTATAAAGATGCTGAAGCGTATGAGAGTGAAGCAGATACCATTGTTGGTAGTGATGTTGAAGAGTAAAGTGTTGATAAAATAAGATGAATCTCGACTAGAAATTCTAGTTCAATTTTGGATCACGAAAAATCACAAATTAACATTTTAATGCATGGATGAGAAATTTTTTTTTATTTCAACATGTATGCAAACATTATAATGTACTAATAATATTAGATCTATGAAATGTACGTTATATATTTGAATAGACATAAAATATTTATCATAGCTTGAGTGTTATAAAAAAAAAAATATTTATATGCGCAGATATCTTTTATAATTTTGCTGCGGTAATATTGATATAGTGTATGGAATTTAATCACGTGATTTTCGTGATACGTAACCAAAAGTATAAAGTGCCTTTGTCAAAAAATCAAATATTATATATGGATCCGCCAACTTTACCTCCTGAAGAAGTTATCCCATTAATAGTAAGGTTAGTATTTTACGCATAATTTACTTTTAATAGTTTCTTTAGGCTTTAGTATTATTTTCAAAGTTGTTTTATCATCTAACTTTGAATAATAAAACTAGTGATCAATGTGTGGCTTGACAATTTATTGAGATACATGTTCAATTTTAATCATATAGCGATCTGAGAGATGTATATAATAAAAAAATAGATTTCATTGAATAGCATGATTCTTCTTCCTTTTTTCGCACATGAATTGTGTATTTAGTCAATTATGTGAGTATGGATATACACAATTGGCTCAAATTGTTGCTGAACAAACGGATAGCCCGGTGGACTTAAGACCAAGTCCAAAGTTATCTGAATTACTTTATATTGCGAAAGAACAAGGTTCTTTTACGATTTAGTTTTTTTTTTTGATACATTTATCATATTATATAGTCTTATTGATGCTTATATGAATAGATGAGGGTGATGAAATGAGACCATGCGAAATGCCTGAGGAAGACCCTGACTCAGGCGACAGTAGTCAGGGAGACGATGGTGTTTATCATTCAAAGTATTTAACACATGTTGATCCGGAGACTAGAAATGGTATTAATATCGAATTTCATTGGTGCTGTTCCAGAGAAGTTCTTAATAACGGATTTTCTTGTCTTTAAATGGTAGTGCCTAAGCCAGCCCCAAACTATTCAACTTGGTATATGACAACTCATCGGGCTGCTTCTACATGTGCAATATTTAGTGGAGATGGTATTTCTATTAATGACGTATGCATAATCACAAGAAACGCATTAAATAAACTCTCAATTAGGAAAATATGCCGCTACCGGATCTGCTGATGCTTCACTTAAAGTTCTTGATACAAGTAAAATGAATAGTCGCTCAGACGAAGACAGACCAGTTATAAGAACTTTATATGACCATCTTGCAGTAAGTAATTGTGTTTTATTTTATTTTGTTGTTTTGATAAATTAATTCTTTCGTATTTTTCAGGGTGTAAATGATTTGTCATTCCATCCAAATGGCCTTGTCCTTGCATCTTGCTCTGATGATCAAAGCATTAAGCTCTTTGATTTATCAAAACCTGGTGTTAAACGATCTTTTCGATATTTACAGGTGCATTGATTTAGTTTTAAATAAGAACCCACCATTCATTCAATGTCAATAATATTCACATACCAATAGGATACTCATGTTGTTAGGTCGATAGCCTTTCATCCATCCGGAGATTATATACTAGCAGGTTGATTCATTTTTTAAGCTTATAGTACTGAGCTTTACGTTTTCAAATTATACTAAATTTCATATTTTTAAAGGAACTGATCACGAGTCTATAAGGGCTTATGATGTCAAAAATTTTCAGTGTTTTACAGCATCCACTTCACCAGGTGACCTTCATAGAGGCGGTATTACAAAGGTAAAATTACACATAACTAGTAAAATTACACATAACTAGTTAAATTAAACCTATTAAATCCTAATAATATTTAAAATTTCGATAGGTTCGATTTTCCGCAAACGGTTCTCAATTTGTTACATCATCACTTGATGGTAGCATAAAAATATGGGATACTGTAACTGGTCGTTGTGTTACTACAATCGAAAATGCGCATGATGGGGCTTCAGTATCAAGCGTAAAGTTCTCAAAAACTGGCAAATTTATTCTTTCCGGTGGAAGGGATTCTGTAGCACGATTATGGGAGGCTATTAGTGGAAGATGTATCTTGCAATACGAAGGTGCTACTCATAAAGTAATTTATCCTTTTATTTATCATTTTTGCTCCTTTACATCATTTTTTAATGTCAAATATATTATTTTAAGAATAATACATTGGAAACAACTTTCACTTATAACGAGGACTATGTTCTCAGTAGTGATGAAGTAAACCCCACTGTCGTATGCTGGGATTCACGTACCGGTTTATTGCTAAAGCGTTGGGGAGGTGCGTTTTTCAGCATATTGTATATCTTTGATTTCATTTAATTGGATCTTATGCAAAAAAAACTAAATCATATTAATTAAGGACACGGAAGTACTATCCGATGTATTGCTGCATCTCCAACAGAACCTGGATTTATTAGTTGCAGGTATTTTTCAATATGTTGATATCTTATTCTTGTCTTAGTCAATGTTTATTAATGCTATTTAAACGATTTAAGTGACGATTTCAGGGTTAGGTAAGATTAAATGAACATTAATTGTTTAACATTTTAATATTGTATTTTAACCTGTTTACTATTTAGATATTGGAATTTGGATTAATCTTAAAATATACTTTCCCCTATAATTACATAATATTTCGTTATTGTTGAAATTGAAAAGGTTTTGTAGTATGTAATAAAAATCGGTTTGACAATTCTATAGTTTTTTACTATATTAAAATGAAATTATATATAAAAATATGATATGATTGTACTGTGAAATTTGAATAAGATTTTAAGTAGGGTTTTGTGATTTTATTTGATTTGAAATATTTGATCAAACTAAAATTCAAAATAGATTGAATTTAAATCAATAAACCCTAAGGTGATATGCAAAATAATTATCAAAATTTATATAATATTTTTTTATAATATGTATATATATACAGTATACTTGAACTCTTTCCGATGATTACTTGAGCCAAACCTTTACAAAAAGCAAGTTAAAGACAAAGCCTTTAGTAAAAGTTATTTTTGATTTTATTGCTCTAGTTGATGATAAAAACTATTTATGAAATTTACAAGATGTAAAACAAGTATACTGTATTTTTGCAATAGTTTGTGTTGAAGTCAAGTTTTTTCTTGAATAAATTTTCTAATATATTTGATATTTAAGCTAAAAGGAAGTTCTGACAGTAGAAAAAGATTTTATTAAAAGTTTACTAAAGTTAATAAAATTAAATAAATAATTTAAAAAATATATTTACTAAAACTTAGCCTTTTGTACTTTTCCAATTCGGCTGTCTCGCCCGTTTATTTGGGATTAAGTTATTCAAAAATTACAAGAATTTTAGATTATATTTAAGGTAGGGTACATAGATCATTTTTTATATAATCTTGTTGGTATATTTTTGTTATACAGTCAGACCTCGTTATAGTCACTCTTGATATAGTCACAACCTTATTATAGTCACACTATTTCTTAGTTCTAGACATTATAAAACATATAAAATTTGACCTTAATATAGTTACTTTTTTATAATCACCAAATATTTGTTTCCCAACCTGGTGATTATATCAAGGTTTGACTGTATTTAATATTTAAAAATATTTTATAAGCTAATTGTTTTGGTGTATTAAGTAAAGTTGTAGAATAGGTTTTTCTGATTCTAATAATAGTAAAATCATTAAGATTAGTTAAATATTTAATGAAAAATATGTATTTAAAGATTGAGTATTATTTTTATTTACAAAAATTATATAATTATATGATATAAACCAATTAAAAACACTGATTTTGCATAACTCTAGTAAATTTGAAGTCACTTCAGCAAACTTTATAATATATACAAGTATAATTTTTTAAATATTTTATCTGTTAAAAACTTTTACTATTATAAAAAACATATTCTAAATTATATATTATAAAAATTTGGTAAAAATTAATTGTGATACTTAGCAAAAAGTTTTATTAGTAATATATTTCTATTTTCTTATAAAAATCACATTGTATTACAAAATTATATGACAAAATGATCTATATACCTCCTATCCTTAATTTAACCAAGACAAAAATTTACTTATATAATTTTATATACTAGATATAATCTACCTCAATAGTATTTGATCTTTCTCCAAATTCTTAATCTACTAAAAACTTATTTTTTATTGTTTATTAGCTGGTGGTTATATTACTTATTAAGAAGTAAAATAAGAAATTAAAATAAAACATATTAAAAAAATACAAAGATATAAAGGATTATAGTAAAAATATATAAATAAAAAAAAAAGAGATAAAGAAAATATTGAAAACAAAGGGGTGTAGTGACTTAGTGAAGTGGTCAAGTTGTTGCCCCCAAGTAGCATATCCAGAGTTTAATTCTTACTGACAATATAAAATTAAAATTTTCTATATAATGATAACTATTCAAGTATTGGGATATAGATCCTGTAACAACAGTTAGACCAAATAGATGCAAGGGTAATAATCACCTAACAGACAGCTTATCTTGCAAGCCTTATCAGGGCAGTAGTACAAACTTGGAAAATCATAGAGCATTTGTATAATAAAGGAGTTATATAAAGAGATACAAACTAATAAAAGGTAGTATAAACCTATGATAAGTCTCTGTAATTTGTATAAATCTGTAGAAATAGTCCTGAATAAGAACCTGCTTAGCAGGTTTTAAGTAGAAAAGTAGCACTACTTTTAATAGTTCTGAAAAGTCTAAAAAAAGAACCAAAAAGTTGCAGAACCGAACAAGGATTAGGTGTTTGGCGAACACTATATCAATCAGACTACCAGAATTGATTAGAAGAAAAGGGTATAGCCCAGTATCCATATTAAGTCAATAGGAAAGTTGGTAATATAACTTGTGAACCAAACTGGACTATCTGAATTACCAGACTTTGAATCTTGGTTTAACAAATTTTTTGATATCTACAAATATCAATTTACTAATATTGACAAACAAAAAACATATAATCATATCAAATACCAAATTGGTCTTAAGCTTTTCAATATTTGTAAAGCATTTCTTTCTAAAGAATTTGCTATTACTAGTGTTAACTCACTACGTGAAAGATCTTTCTTATATTTCAAAACTGCATTTTACCATATTCATACTTGTATTATCGAAAATTACATTATTCTACCCAAAGACACTAAACATTATGCTAAAAATCTATCTATATTCTTCTTCAAAGAATCATTTACCCACTTTCCTGCTCCTCCTAAAACTACTTCTACAACATCTAAAATCGTATATACACATCCTAACCTTGACTTTTCTATATTTGACAAGGACAAACAACATGCTGCAACATTTCAAAAACCTACTCCAATTCCTTTTTTACGCAAACTTGCTACTAAAACTAAAGAAAAATTTATGGAGCTAAATAAAGTAGTAACAGACTCTTCTTGTGAAAATTACTATTTTTATAGTTATCTCAATGCATTTCTCAAAGCTGCTACCAAAAATGATCAAATCAACAACCTTTATCTCTAACAAGCAATTGATAAAATTACTAACAAACTAATCAAAACAGACTATCTTGTTTGAGTTCTCACATACTTCTATATTTTTAAAACTGGAGAAAAACTTTCTATCATATATATCAAAAAAGTTTACAAAGAGACCTTTTTTTTTTTTTTTTTTTTTTTTTTTTTTTTTTTTTTTTTTT